GGAAAGGGAGAAGGTGATGAGGGTGGTCAACTCTTAGTCCTCCCTGGAGTGAAGGGGGTGGTGGGCGACGCGGCAGGCCCTGGAGGGTCGTTTCCAGAGTGGGAGAGAGGGTGGGATCGGTCCACACGGTAGAGTTTCTGGAAGTGTGACCTTTGCACCTGGGCCTGGAAACCCAGCGGCCCACCCACCCGTGGTTGTCAGGACCAAGAGGGACCAGAACAGGAGGACCAAGGAGGCTTGTGCTGGGGGTGGGGGGCCCACAGCGAGCCTTCTTCCTGTGTGTGAAGGAGACCTTGACCTTCAGTGATGGGGTTTTAGAGCATTACCTGCCATTTCTGTTTGTCTTTAACCTCAAAGGACCATTTCAAGGACATTTATAAAAAACAAATGGCCCTTATATATGCTAAAGCATTATAGGAATATTACCTGCATAGGCTAAGGGTGTTTTTCTAAACTGAAAATTTCCTAGAGGTAGTGTCAGAAGCGACCCTGCTCATCCCAGTTTGTATGCCAGTAACTCTCCGGCGTGCCAGTGGTGCTCGGGCAGACGTGCAGGTGAAGGCACCAAGGGTTCCTGCTGAAGAAAGGATGGAGCCCAATTCGGGGTTCCCATAGTTCCCCTCCTCCAGCCTCCCTGCTCTCCCCCATCTGCTCCACCACATCAGCTTCCTTGCTTTCTGCCAAATATTTATTGCTTTTTAAAATTCTGGGGTATTTCAAACCTACTGCCTAGAAGACTCAGGTCACCTGGGTACTTAATGGATACTCTGACCTGCAGACTCTAGGCCTCAGTTTCCTCAGATGTAAAACCTGAAGATTGGACGCCAGCCCCTGGTCCTCTCTGGGTAAGATTAAAACGCTCATGCGGCAACCACTGAGATTTAAGAACTGCTAACTCTATGCTACACTGATTTCAGAGTCTTAAAAAAGGAAAGACTCCCACTAGCATGGGTATAATTGAAAAAATGGAAATAACAATTCTGCTGACGATGTAGAAAAATTGGAACCCTCATGTACTGCTAGTGAGAATATAAAATGGAAGAGCTCTGCACCCACAATCCTGAAACCAAATTGAAACCCCCAACCTAGAGTCTAGGTAATGGGTGTTCCCACCAAGCTCAGCTAGGTTGAGGTGCATCAGGTCCTCTGGGTGTGTGGGGTGAAGGTGTCAGGGAGAGGTCTCAGGCCTTGTTCTCAGGTAATTCCTAAATTAATCCTCAGCAGCTGAGAACTTTCTTAACTGTAGGGGGCTTGAGGGAAGGAGGAAGTGGCACTATGGAAAACAGTTTAGTGGTTCCTCAGAGTTTTACCCTACGGTCCAGCAGTGCCACTCCTAGGTAAATATCCCAAAGAACTGAAAGCAGGGACTTGAACAGATAGGTGTACACTACTGTTCACAACAGCATCATCCCCAAATAGCCAAAGGTAGAAACCAAATGTTCATTGACAGGCGAATGGATAAACAAAAGGTGGTACATACACATGGTGGAATATTATTTGGCCCTAAAAAGGGAATGAAATCCTGATACATGCTATATCAGGGATGATCCTTGAAGGCATGGTGCTGAGTGAAATAAGGATAATAGTGATGGTCCCATTTATATCAGGAAACTAGAATAGTCAGGTTTAGTAAAGACAGAAAGTAGAATAATGGACCTGATGCACCCCAACCTAGCTGAGCTCTGTGGGAACACCTGCTACCTGGACCTGGACGCCAGTTTGGGGGTTTCAATGTGGTTTCAGGAATGTTCATTTTGGACCCTGTGGGTCTGGGGTGGGGTGAATTGTAGTACCAGGAGGGCTAAGAATGATCTGGAAAGCACATCACTTGACCTCAGAGAGCAGGTGCTCAATGAGTTGGAACTTGAACAAAAGAGGCCCTTTTGTGGACATTGCCAAGTGGCTACGGGCAAGGAGTTAAACTGTACCCAGGTTTTAGAAACAGGGAGCAGCACTGCTGAGCTTTCTGGAGGTCTGAGATTCCTACTGATGAGCTTAAGTATCTGTTGGTTTTGTTCTTGGAAAGGCTGATGAATTCCCATTTTAAATTCACTCTGCATATATTTCTGATTGATTTTTGTCTAAGAGACTCAGATGTGCCAGGCCTCCATCGATAAACTAAAGAGGATTTAGGGGAGAGGCAATTAAAGGGCTGGACCCAGTTAGGGCAGGGGTGGGGGGTGGGGAGGGGAGGGGGGAGTAGGCAGGAGATACAGAACTGCCCCACCCTGGGAAAGCCCTGGGTGTGCAATCAGGAAACCTGATTATTGAATCTTGTTCTGAAAGAGAGGTCACTTCACTTTATGACCCGGGTGAGGCCCTTTGTGTCTTCATTTGTCGGATGGAGAGAATTTAATCCCTGCTGTGCGAGCTTTGTGACTTCGGTGAGGGCCAGCCTGTCCTTACCGTCTGGGAGTGTCTGCTGGAACAAAACCTCTGCTGAGTCAGGGCTGGACCTTGAGACCTGGCCCTGCTGATGCCAGCCACAGCTGGAACCTGGCCCAGAGTGACCGGCCATGAGACTGGAGGCTGGTTTCAATGACAAGCTGCACAATCACAATGGAAAGGAAACCTGAGACCCGCCGCTGGAGACTGAACACTCTGAGTGGGACATGGGCACAACTCTGGGGTCTCTGCAAGAGGAGGAAAGAGAGAAAGATCCAGAAAGACAAGGTCACCCTCCATCATGATCTGTTCCCAGTGCTGCAACCTCCACTTTTCTTTATCTTCGACCTTCATGAACCTGCCCGCAGCAACCCCTTTGAGGGGCAGCTGAGAGAATTAAATGAAACATGCACCTGGATGGGTTTGGCTCAAGTTCTGTTCCGATGGAGGCACTTCGAGCCCTTCTCTGTCTTCTCCCAACACCCCAACTTGCTGCCATTTCTGTGTCCGACATGGGGAGCGCATCTCTGCTTGTTGTCCCTGGAAAGTCCCTTGTCCACTTTGCCCTTGCTCTCTGCAGTGCCCGGTAACCCCTCCACCTAGCAGAGCCTTGAGTGTTTGGGGGCTGACTGAGTACGTGCGTGGTGACTCACCACCTGGTCACACAAGTTGCTGGGAACCTCAGGGACAACCTCGACATTTCCTTCTCTTGCACACCCCGTGCTTGGGCATGGAGTCCTGGCATTAACTTCCTGCAGATTTCTGCTCTTGGTCCCCTCCACCCCATCCAGAGTTCCACTCCCTCCCCCCGACCCCATGACGTTTTGCCTGCCTGGTGCCACTGCTTCCTGCACTCCACCCTTCAACTCAGCATCCGAAGGAACCCCCAGGCACCCTTGGTTTGCAGTGCTGAGCAATATTCTGGGTCCTCGCCCACCTCTGGGCCTGTGCCCACCTTTCAATCACCTCCTTCACTCCCCGCTTCTCCCTTTTGGCTTCCGAGACATCAGCGTCCTGCAGTGGCTCAGCTCCCTGCCTGTCCCTGCTGTCGTTCTAGCTGCCTTTCCTGTCCCTGCCAAGCTCTAAGTGGTCTTCGAAGACACGACGGCGCATCGCCTCTTCTGGAAGACTTCCAAGGCTTCTCCAGGCTGGTTTCAGGCCCTGCAATGGTTCCTAGAATCCCTTGAGCTTCGTCTTATCGAAGTGCCTACCTGGCTGTGGGGTTCACTTGTCTGCAGAGGGCAAGGGGCTGCCTATGAGCACTAGCGCAGTCTTGTGAGCAAACCCTCTGGAAGCAGACAGACTAGGGGTTCGTGCCTATTTTTTTTTTTTTTTTAATTTCCTTTTTCAGTTGTGTGACTTTGGGCAAGCTGTTTAACCTCTGTAAGCCTCAGTTTCTTCAACTATGTGGTGGCAATAATAAAGCTCACTTCACAGGGTTATTGGAAGCAAATGAAAGGCAGTGCCCAGACAGCCCTTCTCACCGCTCCTGGCTGGTGAGGGGGGCTCCACCGTGCTGGGTGCCAAGAGACTGAGAAAACGATTTCTAAGATAACTGGAGCAGAAGGTCTCCAAACGCCAGGCTGAATCTGCTGTTCAAGGAAGAAATAAGTCTTGTCGAAAGCAGAAGCAATAATAACAAATCTTCTAGAGTGTTCCCTCAAGAAACTTGGGGGAGACTTGGACACGAACCGTGGCTGAGATTTCAGTGAAAATCGAAGGTTTCAGGGAAAACCGATTTCCTCAGGGGACGGCCAGGGAGTGTTGGGTGTGTTGTGACGCTGGAGGGCCAGATGGCCAAAGGTAAAAGACACAACGTGGTGCTCGGTGCTGACGCCTCAGGGCAGAGTCGGAGCCACAGCTGACTGCCCTATGAGTAGATGCCACCCCCCCAGGGCTGCCACCGGCCGTGCGGGTCCAAACACCCGGGGCTCCCAGATTTGTGCAGGTGCCCCTAGAAACCCCAGTCCCTCTCAGAGCGCCTGGAGCGAGGGCGCAGGGAGACCTGGGCTCGGGTGGAAGGCCACCAGCAGAGGTTTCCACGCGCCCTCCTGTGCGCAGTCGGCAGCTGCTGCCCAGAAGTGTTGCAAAAAGGTGGGAGCAAGTCCCGAGGAGCCGGGGACCAGCGCGAGGTGAAGGCTGGGTGCCTCCCACCCTCACCTCCTCCTCGCCCCTCGGGGAGGGCCGGGCAAACAGCGCGACGGCCCGCGGTGAGGCGGGCGGCGCTCTAAGCCGGTCTGCGGCTCGGGGCTCCTCAGTCTCCTCCTCCGGGCAGTGGGTCCGCGGCCGGGGTTGGGAGAGCGCGCCCGTAGCCCCGCCCGGGCCCGCCCCTCGGCGCGGCCGCCCCCAGGTTTGGCCTCGCCCGGGTCTCTCCGGCTCTCGCCGCCCAGGGGCGCGGGCGCGTGGAGCTGCCGGGGCGGAGCGGGGCGCGGGGCGCGCTCGGAGCGCAGCGCCGACTGTCTGCCCGGGTCCTCCCGGAGTTCCCCGCGGGGGCGGAGGCCGGGGCTCGGGGCGCCGCGGCCGCGCGGGGAGGTCCAGCAGCGCCCGTGACTTCACGGGGAGGGGCGAGGCGGCCGCCCCGCGCGCAGAGCCGAGCCCCCGAGCGCAGCGCCGCCGCGGAGTCGCCGGGCGAGGAGCGCGCGCCGTCGCCCCCATGGAGCGGTACAAAGGTGAGGACGCGCGTCCCCCCGGGGCTCACCCACGCTCCTCCCGCCCAGGGCCGCGCCCGGGAGGCGGGTTGGGGCCGGCGGGGGCGTCGGGCGTCGGGCTGGGGCTCAGGTGAGAAGAGCCGGCTGCTCTTGTCCAGACCGGACCTGGCGCACAGACCCGGGATCGCCGCGCCGCCGGCCAGCGACTCCCGGGGGGCGACCGCGGTCCCGGCCCTTCACCCTCCCTGGCGTCGAGAGCGGGGTGGGCGCGCGAGGCTTCTCACCTGTTGGAGAAAGGGCGCGCTTGGTGACAGCACCCCACCCCCGCCGCCAGCCCTGCCGCCCGGGAAAGTGGCCGGGGTCGATTAGGTCGGGTGGAAATCGTGAGCACCGCTTGGGGCGAGGGGTGTGTTGCTGGGTCCCCGCTCCAGGGCGCCCCCGGAGTGGACGGTTTCCCGCAGACCCCGGGTGGCGCCTCCGCGCGCTGCGCGCTTGGGCGCTGGGGTGGGCGCGCAGCTCGGCTCCCGGCTGGGTCCCGGGCCCTGGTCTCCTCCAGGGGAAGGCAGAGGGTGCCGAGATTGGGGCCGGGAGAGGTGACCAGCAGGTGGAGCGCGTGGAGGCGTCCGGGCGCGAGAGCTTAGCCCAGAGCGCAGCTGGGCTGGTTTGGGGGTGGGCGGGGGCGAGAAGGCTGGGTTGGGGAGCCCGGGTGCGGGGAGCCCCGGGAGCCGGCTGCGGGCCTCGCGTTGTAGATCTTTGCAAAAGGAGTTTGGGAAAGTCTCTTGCTCTTTCTTGTCCCCGACTCCTCTCTGCCAAACCTGCGAGAGGAAATACTGTTTCTAAATTTGTTTTCCCCTGGGAGAGAGTGCTAGAGCCTGCTCAGATTCCCAAGGAATCTTCCTCCCAGTGGTTTCTCATTTCTGAAATGAACCCAAAGGGACCTTTTGGGACCGGTTTTGATTTCCTAAATGCGTCCTGCCTTTTGAAAGTTCCCTCTTGCCTTTTTTTTTTTTCCTCCTCATTTGGGTAAAGGTGAGGTTTCACCTTTCATTTGGTTTCACCTGGTTAAAGGTGAGGGAGAAAGGCCTACATCCTAGACTGGCTTCGTGTGTAAAGGAAAGGACTTTGCCGGGAACGTAGCAGCTGCCGGGACAGAGTTAAATTGGTTGGCAACCTATAGTGTCTTTCTGAGCCCTCCCTGCAGCCTCCCCCATGTTTCTAACCCTGGGTGGGTATTTTGGTCTCAGATTCTGTTGGGATCACGTCAGTTTTCTGCCTGAATGACTGAATGCCCCCTTATGTGGTCTCAGAACACTTAAGGAAGCCACTGTCCCCTTGTAAAATGGAAGTTTGGGCCTCCCTCCTGCACTCTGGCCCCTCTGCCCTCCAGGAGGCACCCTCACAGGGAATCCATAGTTGCCTTCTGGCCAGAAGTGTTGGCCTCTGGCTTTCCTTCCAGCTCACGTCAGCCATTGCTGCAGGGAAGGGGGAGTCAGCTCCTGGTGGCAGGGCTAGGTCCCAAGCTACTTTCTTAAATCAGCATATAAATCTATGTTAGGGTAAATGATAACATTTGGGGCTCTTTTTTTCCCCAAATGTCCAGTTGTCAGAAGGTTTTAGAATTAATAGGTTGTCTTGGCCCTAGACTTGAGAAAGTCTTCTTAGAGATCCTTTTCTCTTGGGAGTTTAAAATCCTTGCTCTCCTTGAAGATCACTTAGGGGCTTTTTGCCAACTGAAAGAGCTTCCAGTTCAGAGTGCTTACGTTTTTGATAACACATGTATCATGTAAATTACAGACAGAAAGTGATAAGTTTGAGGATTATCTGGATAGCAGCAGCTAACCCATCTCGTCTTTGAGTTTTTGGATCCAAAGTTCCATTTCAAGTCTCACTAGTGAGTCCTGCTTACACTTTTACTATACCTTTCAGTTGAGGAATTTGGGGAGCCCATATGTCAAATTCCCCTTTCTTTTGAGCAGTGGGTGACTTGTGCTTCAAACAAGAACAATTGGTCTGTGCCATGTGAAGCCTGCCGGCCTCAATCTGATGAACCAGGGGCACTAACTAGAATCTGTAATCTCTTGCTCATTAGAGATCAGGGCTTTTTTTTTTTTTGGAGAGGGGTTGATTTTTAAGGTAAGATTAAAAATTGTGGAGTGACTCTGTACAGTGGTTTTAATGACAAAGTTGAACGGAAAAGCAAGATTTACTTGGGTTCTCAAGGTATGTAAAGAAGTCGTCTTATTATTTGGGATGCGTTTCAGAATTGTGATTTAAGCACCTGAACCTGTGTTTCTAAATGTCCTGTTTTGAGCTTTTCTTCTGCCAGATATATAAATTGGCTCACCAGGGTCTCCAGATTTTCAAACTATTTTCTCTAATTTATAAATCGTGTAAAACAATGACTGTAGAACTTGTTTTCGATACTCAACCTGTTTATTACGTATTTTACACCCTCCAGAACCAGCCTATTATTTTTAGTATATGTGCTGCCGAAGCGAGCACAGCAGCCTATTATTTTTAGGTTCTAGGCTGATTTTCCACTGTTTTGTAGGATGTAAAGAGATGTCTGCAACCAAAGGATTTAATATCACCTGATGGCTAAGCAGAAACATTTTCAGATGTTCTACCCACCCCTTCCACGCCATTCACTAAGCAACTGTGACTCTTAAGCAAAAATGAGGTGGGAATTAAGGGGAAGGATTATGTGGGTGCCTTTCCAGAGAGATGGAAGTTTTTAAATTGAGGTAATGTTAGTAACAATTCTGTATATGATTTAGGAGAGTAGGGTCACACCTCTTCAGATGTATGTTACCATACCACACCCACCATTAGAACAACCATAGTCCTCCACCATAGTCATCTGGACAACCCCCCTTTTGTGTTTCCTGCCCCCACCACCCACTCCAGTAGCCACAGTTCTGCAGTCATATTTCTAGGGCTTGCTTGGTTTAGTTCTTTCCTGTTCTTTTGTTTATTCTGCATATGAGAGAAATTATCCAATATTTATCAATCCCCTTCTGGCTTTTTGTTTAGCATAATACCTCTCTGGTTCCATGCAAAATTGTTGCAGATGGTTTCATTTCATCACTTTTTATGGTTGAGTACTATTCCATCATGTGGATATACCATAACTTCTTTACTCACCTATCATTGGCACTTAGGTCGTTTCCATAATTTGGCCACTGTAAATAGTGCTGCAGTGATCATAGGCTTGCATATGTCCCCTTGATTTAGTGTTTGTGCATTCTGTGGACAAATATGGAATGAAATTGCTAGATCATGTGGTAGATCTATTTTTAATATTTTGAGGAATCTCCATATTGTTTTCCATAGGGACTGGAACATCTACATTCCCACCAGCAGTGCATGAGGGTTCCTTTTACTACACACCCTAGTGAACATTTGTTGTTTTTGGTCTTTTTAATATGGGTCATCCTTATGGGAGTGAGGTGGTAGAGAAATGGAGCTTTTATGAGAGTTGTCATAAAAAGTGATGGTACAGTTGTTGTATCTTGTATGTGAATCTCTTTGGTGTTGTCTAAGCAGTGCTAACATCTGAGGGTGCCTTGAAAAGGTTCCCATCCTTGGGTGTTTACGCACTTATGACTCATAAAGGCATTCTTGGATCCCTGTGCATGAGCCCATTGGCTGAACTCACACCATGTGGTCCAGGATTCTCGTTCCTACTGCTCTTCCAGCTGGTGAGTGTGTCCAGGGCCAAATGTGACTGACCTACTATCTGTGGATCACACTTGGAATGTCCATTTGGAAGCTTCCTAAATTGCGTCATGCTTGGAGCCAAACAGGCACAGCTGAGATCTTCACTTTAATTTGGATGACAATAATTGGTTGAGAGTATGAAGTATCCTTTCCCCATGTGCTTTTGTCTCTGCGTCTGATCCAGATTCCAGGAGGGAGAACTTAGTTCTAGGGAACTGGAAGGTGGAGATGAGCTAAGAAGAACCACGCCAGTAAAAATACTTGAAAGCTTCTATGGGAATCCTGAGATCTGTGATCAGGGAAGGTCTGAAAAAGAAAAACAAATTAAAAGAGATTGATGTTCATTTCACCTTCAGAAGAATCACCTGTATTCTTTGATTTTCCTTGCCTGGGAGCTCAGGTTTTTCCCTGCTTAAGTTCTGCCTCAGGCAGCGGTGCTTAACCTTTGCCACACCTGGGAACCATAGGGGCGGTTTAAAAAATAAAGGGGTATAGGCCTCACTCAGGACATTGAGATCTGGTTAGTTGGGGCTTTGTTCAGGCCTTGTAGTCTTTATAAAAGTCTCCAGGTAATTTTAATGTGCCGATGAGTTGAGAACCATTGAAAAAAGAGAAGTCATATCCACGCCTTCATCACCTGAAACATCCAAAGCCAGTGTAGAGTGAAACTGACACCGCCTCCCAGTCACGTGATGCCCTTTAACCAAATCTTGTGAAATTTGCAGAAATCTAATGTCATTCACCCTAAGCCATGTGAGGCTGTGGGAACAGTCGTCAACATGATGCTTCAGAATCCTAAGCTCTGGGTTTGCTCTGTATTGTACTTGACCCTGAGTCCTCTTGACTTTGAAGTTCTTTGTGTGGGAGCCCTTGATACTTTGGCAATGAAATGGTCTCTAACAGAAATAGTGGCCGAAAGGCCAGCGCGGGAGGGAAATTCTGCTCGGGACCCTTCCTCTCTTCTGAAGGGGCAGAGATTCTGGGAACCAGGCTGGTTCCCAGCACAATTAAAGGACCAGGAGGGCCAAGGCTCTTCAAAGCTTAGGAAGCGCTGCCAGTTTCTTCCAAATCCCTTTACTGATGGGAAATGTTTCTCTAAAGACTGCTGTCATTCAGAGAAGGGGGCCTCTCCCCCAGCCAGGCCGGGTGGTGTGTCTGTCCAAGCCCAGGCTTGGGAACCGGAGACCCATGCTGCTCTGTTTCCTTGGGCTCAGAGTCACCGAGCGCCCCAGGCCTCAGTTTCCCCATTGAGGAATTAGCCTGGGGGAGTGTGTCTGCATCTGACTCTGCACGCACATCTGTGACGGTTGCTTTGTGGTCACTGAGGAATCTTTGGAGGGAGGATGTGTCTTGAGAGGAAAATGAAGGCGGGAGAGTGGGGAGCCCAGCGGAGGTCAGTTTGGGATTGTGAGTCTTATAAATACACCAATTTCCTGTTGAGAGCTGGAAAGCAGCAGACTTAGTGGGAAAGGGAATGCCATTGCCCCCCATGGGGTGGGGGTGGGGTAGTTTCTCAAGGACTTTTGTGTGAGCCTGTCTCCACAGATTGTTAGGGAAGCCCAGAGTCCCCTCTGTAACACTGGATGACTCACCCTCACCCCCACTTGAGAGACAGGTCAACAGAGACCTAAAGAGATGAAGCACTTACCCCAGTCAGGAACAGGATGCAAAATCCCAAAGAATTGAGTTTCCTGTTCTAATAACAGTGTACTTAGAAAGAAGTCCTCAAAGCAACTTCAGATGCCTTCTTATGGGTGTCCCTTCAGCCAGGAAGGGACTGGCTACTTAATGAAACACTTGAGTCTTTTGGACCTAGCTGATGTGCCTCCTCTTCCATGAAGTCTCCCTAGATTCCCTCTGCTCCCTTACTGCTCGAAGTCGAGCCTCACCCGTGCTTGGCCCATCATTGGTGCTCGACACATGTTTGTTGAGTTAATGTCATGTTGTCTCATAATTACTAAATGTATATATGTCTTTTACTGTTAGACTGAAGTCCTTCCAGATAGTGGTCTTGTCTGTCTTCTAAGTGTCCCTGTCTCCAGCCCTGGTGAGCTGCCAAGCATAAAGTAGCTGCCGGGAACATGGCTGAGGAATGAGTGAATGAATGAATTCCAGGCTACAGGAGCACATGGTTTCCCATGCTCTGGCCTCGAGAACAGACCTGGTCCACCAAGGAAAATGAAGCACCATCTCAAGGCTAAATTCCAGAAATGGAGAGGCCGTTGCATGGGGGCCACCCTGGGCTTTCCCGACTCGAGCCGTGTTTCTGTCTGTTCCAGCACAGGGGTGTTGCTGCCTGGTGGTACAGAGAAGGATCCTGCAGGTTTCTGCTTGTGAGTATGAGCCTGCCTGTGCCCCTGCAGCACCTCCCCTGACCGCCAGGGCTTCTGAGGGCACAGATCTGCCTCTGCCTATGCTCTAGAACCAAGACTGAGGGATCTCATGGAGCAGGGCATGGCCTGGGCACTCAGGGGCTCGGGGTTCTAATCTGGCCTTCACCACTAACTTGCTGTGCGACCTTGGGCAAGTCAATTAATCACTCTGGGCCTTGTTTCCTCATCTGTGCAAGTGAGGATAATGTTACTAACCTGCCTCACAGGCCGCTTGGTGAAATAACATGGAAGAGCTACTGGTAAATAGCTTTGAGAAGGGGTGATGGTAAACTGATTCCAGGGAACAGAGAACTAAAACCTCTGATGTGTTTCTGACGCCACTGCTTCCTGCCTTCTTGTGGAAGCAGGCAGGGTCCTCACAGTTTACGTGGGCACCCATTATACCCATGGCATGCTTTCTAGGCTGCTGGGAGCACTAAGTTGGGGTTACTCAGTCCACTTGTGGGTTCCCTTGCTTCTCAGAGACAGCCCCCAGGATCCCCCTCTATGTCGCCTGGAATGGAGACGGACAAGACTCCTCAAGTCTCCTGGAGACCACATCCTGGCCCTGCCTCACTTTTCTCTGATGCTCCAGAAAATTTCTGTAGGAGAGATCCCTAGTTTGCAATGAGAACTGGGAGCTCCTGCCTAGTTTTCTGTTCCCTGGCCCCTATCTTCTCCCTCGCTCATCTGGGCACAAACCAACCAAAACCCCATTGAGAGAAGGAGTGGAGAGGTGCAGAGCCCACCCCAAGAGCCAGCCTCACCTGGTCACGCTGCTCCGGACCAGGCGAAGGCAGGATAATTCCCTGGGCATGTTCATGCCCGCCTGGTCTCTCTGTGGGTCTAAACATGCGGGCAGAGTGGGGAGGACACCCACCCACCCCACAGTGGCCCTGCTTGCTGTTTTCTAAACACTCCTGACTTCTCTTCTGCCCCGGGCCCCTTCCTGTGACTTCAAAGGCAGCCGCTGGTCTGGTGGAGCAAGATGGGCCCTGCATAGGGGCTCAGGCCCCACTTTGCAAATTGGCTGTTAGCTCCCAGGCGGCAACCTGCCGAGGCTAGAAGGAATGTGAGCCTGGGGAACCTGGAACTCTGCCGGGTGGGGGAGGGGAGCTATCCCTGCTGAGTGACCAACCTCCCTGTTTGCCTGGGACTTTCCTGGTTTCACCACTGAAAGTCCCATGGCCCAGGACACCCTCATCCTGGGTGGACAGAGATCGTGGCTCACCCTATTCTCAGGCTTCAGCTTTATTAAAAGACCCTAAGTCAAGAATTCGGGTTCTCCAAATTCATCTTCAAGCAAAGATGAATTCCAACCAGTCCTTTTATCTTTTGGACAAGGAAAGTCCAAGGTCTACTAATCAGGAGGGACACTTACCAGCGTGCTAGTGAAAGAAGCCAGACTCAAAAGCCTGCACACTGTGTAGTCACTTCTGTGACTTTCTGGCATAACTGGAGAGAAAGAAAGCAGGTCTTTAGTTTTGAGGCTGGGGACAGAGTGACCCCCAAAAGGGATGAGGGAAATTTCTGGAATGACTGAAATCTTTATCGCATCTCCCTCTGTGGCGGAGGTGATCCAGTTCCAGGTATTTGTGAAAACGTAGAACTGTGTTGTTAAGAGGGCAGCTTGCCTCCCCTGTGGTAAATTACCATCCCGAGAACCGAGTTTAAGATAAACCCGAGAGTTGGTGGTGCTGTGGTATTTGATGTCGAATCCCTCGAGTGGGTTGTTAGGCCGTCACTGCTTGTAAATAGAATCCGAGGTCTCGCTGTGGTCATGTCTGCTGTGACCTGCAGGTATTGACGTACAGACGAAGAGGTTGAAGAATTTTGGTACGATACAGGGCCTCCCCGGTGGCAGTGGTGCAGCAGGTTGAGTGCAGTGCTGTGGAGCTGTCCGTAGCCTCTGCAGCATTGGTTCGATTCCCAGCTGGCCAGGGAGATACCCACATGGCACGGCAGATCTCTCCTGTCTCGCCTGCTGCTCGCCTCTGCAGTGTTTTCAGTTCATCTGCCTGTTCTGCTTCCTGCTCTGTCTCTGGTGAATCCTCTCACCTTCCTGCACCTCTGGCCTGTACCCCAGTTCTTGTATAAATAAATAAATCTTAAAAAAAAAAAGAATTTAGGTACAAAACAAAAGATGGAGGCCTCATATGCCACACAGCATCCTCCATGCAAGGCTCTTCTTGACTAGGTGCATACAATGCATTGGTGAAAACCCTCCCTCTTTTTAGAGAGCGGAAAGGCAGTTTCCCTGAAGCCCCAGCGGCGGATGAGCACAGGAGGGTGATGGGACATAGAAGCCTCAGCTCTGGCCCCAGCCTGGGAACGCTGCAGCCACGCACACATGGATCTAATGTATTGAGACTGGGCAGCCTTCTTGCAAGTCTTTTTGTTCCACCAATAAAGTTATTGAGCTGGAACTGAGTGCCCGAGTCAGCACCGTAATTCTTCCTGGCTGGCTTTTTGTTTTCGGCGCTCCTGCTTGTCTGCGCTAGCTGGGGTTGCTATCAGGCGGGAGAACCCATGAGTTAGCAAAAACGGTGTACCTGTCCCACATGATGTAAGGAATGGCGTGTCTTGTTTCCAGCCTGGGAGAAGTCTGGTGATGCAAGGGCAGACGCACCAGCCCTGGCTGAACCAGTCTGGGAGACAGGATGTGGAATTTTACAGGAATGAAGGGGGATCTATGTGGTGGTCCAGTGCACCCCGAAGATTCTGGTGATTCCATTTTTAAACAATCAACCCATGTCAAGTTGGCTTGTTCTTCAGATGAACTTTGACTCTGATTCTGGGAGCTGGAGCTGTGCCTTTCCACCTCCAGTACAGGCTCTGGGAAGACTGTAGAGCTGTCCACGAGGACCAGATGGGCCCAGATCACGTTCAACCGTGAATAACACTGGGTTGCAACTCATGGGTCAACTCTTCCTGCTCACAGGTGTATTGTTACCCAATATGGCAGGTGTGTTGCACCTGTTCTTGGGGGTTGTCAGGAAGAATTACAGAATAGCTGGTGCATTCTTTGGTTTTCATCATCTTGACTTAGTTGGGGGGTTGGGGGTAGGGGAGGGAGAGGCAGGAAATGTTTTTTTTTGGGGGGGGGGCATGTTTGAAGGGAAGCTGCCTTGTTGCAGGGCAGGCCTGCTGTGGCTGGACCACCTAGGAAGGGCCAGGCTGAGGCAGCCCAAGAGCTCACTTCTGGTTTGAGGCGAGGATGGGAGGCTCGAGAGGAGAAGCTGGGTGTGGGCGAGTGGGGAAATTCCAGAAGCTTCCTCACCTGAGTGCAGGTTGTTGCCACCATCTAAGGGCCCCCCTGGCTCGCTGGTCCTCTTTTGGGTTCTGGAGACTGTCTTAGCCTTCCAGTTAGACCAGCAAGTGGGAATCTTGCCATTTCCTTCTATCCTCCACCCTCTCTTTTCTTCTCCCCCAGTTTTTACACAACAGGATTTATTCATATGAACTGTATTCAAGTCCCCAGATGGGGGGAGAAAAAAAGATTGTGTTGAAAGAGCTTATTGTCTGGTGATTTCACTGACTTCTTTTATTGAATACCCACAATCCTAGACCATATTGAGCTGATTTACTAAAATTCAAATGTGGTCCTTTTGGAGGGAATTCTCTAGCATGCTCGGTATTCCTGACATCGGGGCTGGGACTTATTGGGTGACAAGTATATTTGGGGTATCTTGTCTCCCTCTTCATGGTCTCCTAGGGCAAATATTCTCAGCTATGGTCCCAGACTCCTGGTGAGGCTGAGAGAGAGGGTCACCACCCTGCTGTCCTTTGTATCTTCGGGCCTTTGTGGCATTCCCCCTCCAGCGCATTCTTTGAAGGAAGATGGGTATCACCGCTATGGTGGATGGTTAACAGAGGCCTCCTGTCACTTGTGCTTGGCAGTTCCCTGCACAACTGGAAGGAAATCAAGGGTGGTGATCTTGCACGGAAGCAGCAAGTACACAAAACCTCACACCAACGGCACAAAGGCTCAAGGCAGTGAGGCTGGCCCGAGAGAGAACAGCAGGGTTGGACTTCATGCCTTTTAGCTTATTTTAGAGATGGGGGCCCCCTTCTTTGATGTGACCAGAATTGTGGCCAAAGATTGTGGTGTAGGAGGTCAAGCATGGTTATAGGATGACCACAGCCCTGTTGCACTGAGAAAGCTCAGTGTCTGTAGCCCTTGGCGGTCTCTAGAGACAACCATGGAAGGCACTTGGGCTGGGTGAGGCTTGTGTCCTATGGAGATGCTAATTCAAGTCAGTAACAACCCAGATGCTCCGGAAGTTAGTCTGTGGCAAAGGCAGGTTGGGTTCTCAACAAAAACATCACGCACAAGTGTCAGTGTCTTGGGTGAACACGGGGTCACACCAACTCCTACACAGACAGTGTTTTTCTCTCTCCTCCCCCGCCCCTTCCTGCACTTTTCTTAACACTTTCTCATTCTTTTCACCCTGCATTTCCCTTCAGGTCTCCTGCTCTGAAGTGTCGGAAAGTGATTTCCACTGAGAACCTGAGGCCAGCCAGGTTCTCTGGGTAGAGAAGAGAGGGTCCCCTGGGGCCTGGGCTCTGCGCACCTCAGGCTCCCATTTCCTGGAGCCAGGCCTCCCAGGAGGAGCTGATCACCTCAGAGTCGGGGGAAATGAGGCTTGCTCTCAGCCAGAGGAGCAGCATCTCCTTCCCTCCTGGAAGAGGAGCTGTGACTGAAAATCTGTTCAGTGTAGCCCCTGCTGCCTCGTGAGGCCTTGGAGGTGTCGTGCCCCACGGCTGCTGGATAGGAGGCCGCCGTCCCTGCCCTCACAGCCCGGCTGCTTGCTGACCTTGTCAACCATCCTGCTGGCCTGTGCACATCAGCATCAGGGTGCTCTCAGGACAGGGGGCTCCTCTCTTTGAGGGCCCTTCATCAGCCCTGTGATGCACTAGGGTTCCTCCCCCTCAGCCCCAAGCTCCCTGGGAGTGAGCCT